TGGTTTAAGTTACAACATAGATCTCCAGAAAAGGAGATCTTAAAGCTTTAAGTTATACACACATATTAAATGAGTCTGAGAATTAACTCTGTACAACAGCTAGAAAAGCAGATACCCGATCAATTCAGAAGATAAAAAATGTTACAAAAACGTTGCTTAGAATCAAAAATCACATTTAAAAATATAGACAATATGGAATTGAAGACATTGTGTGCTTATCTACAGCACTAAAGACAAAAATGTGTGCCTTAGAAAATGTTTTCAGTACTAAAAATCTGGTGCTGTAGAAGCATAGGAGAGTAGCTAGGAACAACAGAAAAGCTCTAAGTACTATAACCTCTCCAATGGCTGAAAGTAACTCCACTGAAAACAAAAAGAATTTACGTCCAAAGCAGACCTCCTTTGTATAAAACTTTTCTTTAAGTCCAATTAAGTAACTGTCAGGCATTTAATGTATTTAATACAAACTTGAATAATGTCTTAAAGTGCATGAGCTTTACATAGGAAGTTCTGGACAGCAGTGTACAACTTAAGACTAAGGTAAAATAAGAAGATACATGAAAGTTGAATAGGAAAGTAAGTTATTCCTTAATGATAAACAGCAAAAACTCACGCATTTAAACCAATCATTTTGTTTTAAAAGTCACAAATGAACATAGCAGCAAAATACACGTATCAGTTGAAGGAATTACGCTCTTTCTTGGAAAGATTTCATCCATGCATAGTTTTGTAAGACTACGAAGTTCTAACTGCATACTGGAAAAGGTAACTTAAAAGTAGTACCATTTCCATTTGTGCACTTAATCTTAACTCAGCTATATGTTAACTGAATCACATTTTTTTTACCTGAACGTAAATTAGTCAAGGCAGAAAACCTGGATACAATTTGAATTAAAAGCATCCAAGACCTTATGAGTAGATACTGAAAAAGAAATATCCCTCACAAGAGAAGGAACAGGAGACGGCTGGTTCTGTTGCTACGAATGTGTAGGAAGCTGAAAGTTTCAGAGAATTGGAATGTAAAGGTGTGAGACTGAAGCAAGTTACCATGAGTTAAGAAAGGATGTGGCCTAGAATGTACGAGATATTCAGTGGCATCTGTGGACACCCACATTTTTAACCTTGCGTGCGATGCTCCTCTCACACTGAGGTACAAGCTAAGGAGTCTTGCATTTACTTCATAGCATGAGCATATCTAAGCAGTGATGACAGTGTAGACAATACACTTAATTAACAAACGCGGCGCATCCAACAGCCTAAGAACTTTACCAACTGACGGAGACTAATAGCCAAGAAAAATCATAAGGAAATCATTTGTGGATTACACTAAGTACTTAGGTAATTAAAGCAAACAAGCGTTATAAATCGATCAGTCAAAAGTGTTCTTAGATTCTCAGATACTCTTTATTGTAATCTCATGAATGTCTTTGCATTGTTTTGTATAATGTAACTTGAGAGGTGATGAAGGAAAAATCTCTGATAGGCTTAGTTATTAAATGGTGAATGTGTCTGTAGGCAAGGACAAGGTAATAAGTCTTCACCAATACCTGTCAAAAGTAGTTCAAATTAGCATAGCTTTCTTCATCCCTTGGTAATGGCATCTAACTGAAGTTATAGCAAATTATAAATTCTGCTGCTATCTATACTCAAATTTCAGATTTGAGCAGTCTAATCCTTGGGAATTAAATACAAAGTTAAAAAAAAAAAGTTCTTGCTCACCAGAAAAGAACTTTTTAATAAGCTTAATTGGCACCATCACTTTTCCTCATTAGAACAGGACATTTTTTCTCAGTATTACAAAATGAACAGAATAAGATAGCATCTAATATAGTTTATTCATCTCTTGCCAAATGTTTCCAGTACAGAAGCTGAAAAATGTAATGATTTTAATTAATCTGACGTTTGTAAGTGATGAGCATTTACTCTTCTCATTGAAGCCAATGGAAGTTACTAAAGCTGGGCAGCTTTGAACAGAAGGACGATTCCCATACTTAGAGACAAACTTTGGTAAGTAAATCGAAGTTACCTACATTTGAAACTATCGATCTCTGGGAATCTACATCTCTCTAGTGACAGCACATCTGCTACTCCAAAACTCAAATCCTTCTAAACTGATACCCACAATGAATAAATTTATTTTGGTTTTATGTAGTGCAGGGGGGGGCACATTGTGCTAAGCAGTAACAAACTGTGCTAATGCCCTGCTACAGTTTCTACCCCAAGTAGCTGAAAGGGTACAAGCTGTAAAACACAGGAAACGCGAAACACAACACAAACACAGACAGAATGACAAGTGGTTGTTATTACTGAAATGCGTTACAAAATAAGTGGATTTTCAGGAGGTTTTTTGAAGGAGGATAGTGAAGGATCTTTACGTACGTTAATTGGGAGGCTGTTCCATGTGTAGGAGGCAGCGTGGAAAAAGACACAAAGTCGGGAGTGAGCAAAAGAGACAAAAGGGGAATTAGGAGCGATGCTTGGGAAGTGCTGACAGTAAAGGAAATGACGACCAAGGTTAAGCCAGAACTAAGAGTGCCTTGAACATGGCTAACTTCACGCAAAGGAGAAAAAGAAATTCCTGGCAGAGGCTCAAAAAGCAAGGACAAGGAAACATGGGCAATTATACAGGAAAGGACAAATGATTTGTGTAGCATGTTCCATAGAAAAATAAGTAAGAGAGTTAGGAGGTGGGAGACCAGTTCACATCAAATAACTACTGTAACAAACATTTCAGTCTCAAATAATAGAAAAGAATTAACTTCAGTGAGATTATGACCAATAGCCAGCCAGATGTGAGGAGTGGTAAGAACATTAGACTGCAGCGATTCTTTATTCAAAGCTGTTAAATCATGTGAAAAATCACGAAGTAGTGTAAAAACCACATGCCCAAAATAAATCCAAACGGAAAAGGTTAGAAAAAAAAAGGTGTTTTAAACATGCCATTCAATGTAGCAGTAAAATGTGGTTGTTGTGGTTGTTCCATAAAATGAGTTCACTCAATTGATGCACAAATAAATTCTATCTATCCAGGGTTTTAGCTGCTGCATTCGTATTCATAATCACTGTCACCAGTTGTGAGAAATACACAAACTCTCAGTGTACACTGAACTTTGATGAAGAAAGGTTTTAAAATACAAAGCTACTAACCCATGAAAGAAATCAAATTAAATACTTTTTAAGCATACAAAGGGGAATGAAATACCATGACTTCACCTGTTCTGAGCCCTATGTATCTTTTTGCATGGTCTAATTTTACTTTCCTTCCAATTTTGTGTCTTTTACAAGTACATAAACGTTAGCTCTTGAGAGCTAAGAAAAAAAAATAGATTTGTCACTAACATTAGTAATAGCAAATTCTACATTACTGAAGCCTTAAATAGTAATATTGGAATTAATATTACCACTTCCTCTCAGGAAGTGTGGGCTGGATGAGTGGTCGGTGAGGTGGACTGACAACTGGCTGAATGGAAGAACTCAGAGGGTTGTCGTCAGCGGTGCCGAGTCTAGTTGGAGGCCGGTAACTAGTGGTGTCCCTCAGGGGTCAGTACTGGGCCCAGTCTTGTTCAACTTCATCAACGACCTGGATGAAGAGTTAGAATGTATCCTCAGCAAGTTTGCTGATGACACAAAACTGGGAGGTGTGGTAGATACACCAGAAGGCTGTGCTTCCATTCAGCGTGACCTGGACAGGCTGGAAAGTTGGGCAGAGAGGAACTTGATGAGGTTCAACAAAGCCAAAGGCAGGGTCCTGCACCTGGGGAGGAACAACCCCATGCACCAGTACAGGCTTGGGGCAGACCTGCTGGAGAGCAGCTCTGTGGAGAGGGACCTGGGTGTCCTGGTGGATGACACATTGACCATGAGCCAGCAGTGTGCCCTGGCTGCCATGAAGGCCAATGGCATTCTGGGGTGCATTAGGAGGAGTGTGGCCAGCAGGTCAAGGGAGGTTCTCCTTCCCCTCTACCCTGCCCTAGCGAGGCCCCATCTGGAGCACAGGAAGTTCCGTCTGAACATGAGGAAGAACTTCTTCCCTCAGCATGACAGAGCACTGGAACTGGCTGCCCAGGGAGACTGTGGAGTCTCCTTCTCTGGAGATATTCAAGACCCGCCTGGACGAGGTCCTCTGCAGCCTGCTGTAGGTGACCCTGCTTAGGCAGGAGGGTTGGACTAGATGACCCACAGAGGTCCCTTCCAACCCCTACCATTCTGTGATTCTGTGATTCTCTCCTTGCTAGTATTTTCAAAGGAACTCTAAATATATTGGTTACTCTTAGTGTTTGATATCTTTTGGGTTTAATCACAAATCCAGGTCCAAGCAACTCACATCTTATCAATAGGTGTGGAGCTTGAATATGTGTATCTGAGTTCAACTCATGATGTAATTTATGTGCACCCCTATAACAGATTATATCAAATTATATCACATTTTGCTGGAAACTTAAAAACATATATCCAAGTCTCTACTCCTCTTCCACATAGTGATAGTCCACCAGTAGGCCCAATTAGCAGTGCTTTTTTTTTTTTCCTCATTTTGTTTCCACTCATACAGTCACAAATTCACTGTTTAGAATTAGATGATTGAATGTTGGTCACTTCCACAATATCTCAGTGAGAGGACTCAGTAAAGCTGTCCCTCTCTGTTTTTCGTGTGTGTGTGTGTGCGCGCATGTGTGTGAATAAAACTGCAGGAAAAAGAAAATATTAAATACGTTTCCAAACTCTCTTTTAGAAGGTCTCATATTTAGGAATGTTTTCTTTAACTCAAATTAAAGCTTGTAGAAAAATTCTTTTAGCTTCAAAATGAAATCTGACTTTAAAAAAACTCTACATAGCCTTTTGCAGGTTTTAAAGCGTACAAAGAACAGGATGTCAGTTAGATCCTTAATCACAGAGCAAGAAATTTATGCACCTCTGCGCTATATGAAGGTACTCCACACAAACTTCAGTTTGAACAAGTTCATATTACACTACCTCAAACATCCAGGGAAATCTGTACTTACCCACAAATCATGTTCGGCATAATCAAACAGCAGCCAAACCTTTCTGTCACTGTGAGAAAGGAAAACCTTCTGCAATGCAATCACATTAGGGTGCTTCAGTTCTCGTAAAAGCTGCAGAGAAACAGAGAAGCTCTTGTTACTTCTGTGCTTGTTAAGAAAAAGCAAACACAACAACAAAGAACCAAAACAGGTTTTAGCGCAACCAGCAAACAAGTAACCCTAAAAGAAGCCCTAGCAGAAAATATGCCACTGATTCAGTACATTATTTTCAAAACGTCAAGATCAGGATACACGCAGCCTCCGTGGGATAGGTTGCTGTTCTGGAAGCACAGCTGCCCATCGCTAGTCACCCTTCTCCCTGTCCCACACTCGGCGCCCATCCCACCTATTCATCCCATTCGCCCTCTGTTTCTATCTTAAAGGATGTTATTGCACACAGACGTAGCTGTTCTCGTATCAAAGGTGAACATCAGGATTTAAGGATGCCAGACTGAAGCCTGTGCAGCTGGTCCAATTCTTTGTGTGGACAACATAGTTCTTGATCACCACATAATTACTGCATTATCAATAATTTGCTTTTGCATTAGATTCCTGCCTCTCTTGCCTGGAAGCCTGCAGGATGGTTGTTCTCAGAACACACAGGTGTTTTCAAAGAAAAGTTCACCAAAACCATTTTTCTAATGGTTGTTTCACCTACTATCCTGTAGTCCAGAAATAAACCTAAGCTTATTTACTGCTTGCCAGAAAGAAAAGTAGGTCTCATGACTAATTAGCACATTAAAGCAGGCGCCACTGCTGAAGTCACCCTTCTGCCAGATGAAGTCAGTCCTCAGGAGGAGCTGGGAAGCGGTACTCCCAAAAACACAATTCCCAAGGAACCACTTCTTTTTTTCCCCTCCATACTGCAGTCACAAGAATGATTGATCACTTCTGTTTTATCTGCAAATTGCTTGCATCTGCAGCACTAGTATATAAATTGCCAAGAATCAATTTATTATGGCGAAATGCTAAATGGAGCAGGTTCCAAGGCACATTTGAGAGAAATGAATTTTCCCTTTTTTCAGCTTACAGAAAAAGACTCAAGATTCTTATTTTAGAAGAAAAAAATAAGGAAAGGGATTAATTTTATATTATTTTATACTTTGGCTATACAAATACCTGTCAAGACAAGAAATCTAAAGAATATTACAGCTGTTAAATCTATTCCAGTTTTCCAGCAAATTAAATAATTTAAATGCTTTTTCTATGATGTAGGAAGTGTTTTCTTCTTTGTTTCTTCCTCGCCCTAATACTAAGCATTTCTAGCTGTAAAAGAAAGGAAGTCCTCCCTAATGAACTGATCAGTAGTCATGCCCAGGTATTACTTACGAGATACCATAAAAATCATTTTGTCATTTAACAAATAGTAACAACTTGCAGAATTATAAACTAACAAAACCCTAGAGATTAAAATTGTCTCTTCAACATGCATCAAGAGATGTTGCTGTATACCTTTAGCAATATTAAAAGCTATTTTCCAGTAGGGATTTGATGTGATGTCTCTGCCTTTTTTCTTTACTTTTTTAATACAGAGCTCTTTTTATTTTAAGATAATTTTTTAAACTAGGAGGAGAAAAAAGAATTACAGTAGGCACTTTTTTCTTTATTTGTTATTAGATTTTTCTTAAAGACACTGTTGGCAGTAATAGTAATATAAAATAATTCCACATAGGTTTTTTTTTTAATTAAATAAAGCATTCTTTCAAAATAACTAAAACTTTGCAGTATGAAACAGCCAAAGAGAATATAGTTCCATATTAAATGCTAGCATATAATAAACAAGTTAACAGAAATATTATGTAGAGCATAAGAACAGAAAGAATGGCTGAAGTGTTAGGCATTAACAGAAAGAGATAGGAATGTGTGCATTCCACAGCCCTCAAACACCACTGCTCACGCCAGTCCATGCAGAGAAACTGTACGTAGCAGTGGTCACCATCAATCAGAATAGACTGATTAATAAATGAAAACTGAAACCTCTCCTTTTCACACAAGTCATGAAAAAGGATACTTTCATATTAAAGAAAGTGGTAAAATTCTTCTCCAAAACAACCACATACACTCTTTTACAATGAGCAAGTTACTTCTAATGCACTGTTCTTCTCCTTTGATTCAACTTTGGTAAGACAACAAGCATCCTTATTCAAACCCAGCATTTTTCACATGACGGAATCAAACTATTGGTATGATCCTGAACACTGCTTATTGTAAAAAGCACGAGAACAGGAGGAAGAAATTACTATGTTAAGTTTTATACTACATGTGTTGAGTTTTTAACAGAGAATGCCTGTATCTGACCTGAAGAATGGAGCACTCTAAGGCCAACAAACAGCGTCTGCAATGAAGTCCTGAGGCTGTATTTTTCAGCTGCTGGGTGACTGGTTGCAGGCATAGATGGCAAGAGCTCCCACCAAACTACAAAAGTCTGTTTACACAGCTTACAGGCGCACTCTCTACCCGCCTGCTTCTCAAGCCTGCTCTGCTTGGAAAAGTTAGCGATTTTTCTAAACCATGTTTTAAATGAACATGTTAAAAGCAATAAGGTTATTTTTAAAGTTGCAATCTAGAAGATGCTGAGATGTTCCCGGTATCTTCATCACAGGGACCACAGCAGCATTGTAAATAACAATGTATTTTTTTTTTCTCTCAAGAGAAGCAGTTACCAAGCAAAACATATCAGACATCTGAAAGCTTACCAAAATACATCTTATCTAATAGTTGTACTTAAGAGGATATTCATAATTTATACAGAACATTTAAGGACTTGATTCCCTGACTTAAGCTCATTCTGTAGTTGTATTAGACACCAACCAATATTAAAAACTAGACTAAAAACTTGTCCAATTATCTTGTTCCATCAAATGGTGTGTAATAGAAAATACTGATAAGTTATTATTAAAAATATTTAAACAAGCTTTTGTATTATCTACTTGTAGTCCAACAGATGAGCAAATTTCTTAATTAAGAAGGAAGCTAATTAAATTTTTGTGTTATTCTCATTTGTCTACCTTAAGTGAATTCTTTGCAATTACCAGGGATAATAATTTTGCAAGTGTCTTTGTATTTTTAACAAATAGTGGATCTTTATACCTTCCTCTTCTACGGAGTCACAACCCTAATACAGCAACAGGCCACAAGAAATTCCATGTATAATAGAAAGCTGCAAGTGGAAACAAACAGCGCACATCCAGACCAGAATGGTTTTAAAGGCTTTGTGACATTCTGGCCATCAAGACTACCGGTGCCACAGCAGCCAGTTCTTCAGCAGCAGGAGCCAGACCAAAAGTCCAGTGGCTCTAGAGTCCCAACGCACTGGGTCAAGAACAGGAGCTCTGCTCTAGCTACACTGGACTTGCAGTGGTGCTAGACACCAACCAATGACATCGGAAACTATAGCTTAGGGTACAAGGGGTAATAGCTTCAAAGTAAAAGAGGGCAGATTCAGATTAGATACAGAAAGAAATTCTTTACTATGAGGGTGGTGAGGCACTGCCACAGGTTGCCCAGAGAAGCTGTGGCTGCCCCCTCCCTGGAAGTGCTCAAGGCCAGGTTGGATGGGACTTTGAGCAACCTGGTCTAGTGGAAGGTGTCCCTGCCGATGGCAGGGGGATTGGGACTAGGTGGTCTATAAGGTCCCTTCCAACCCAAATCATTCCACAGCTCTATGAAGTGACCAGCATGAATCACAAAGATATGTTGGTCAGATTTATGTCTAAACATAATGTTGTATAGAGATGGACTATAGCAGAAGAGAGCACAGGGCCCAAACCAATGTTACTCACAGGTACGAAAAGAGCAGAGATGAGTCATCCAAAAAGCACTGAAAAGATGTGATCAGAAAGGAGTATGGGGCAGAACCTAAAACACAGCTATGGAAATCAAGAGAAAGCAAATTTGAGACAAGTGTTTTAAACATAAGTGTTGATCTAAGGCTTAGCTAAAAAGAAATCAGAGACTTCGGCACCAATATTTTCATTAAAATAGACAGGTGGAAGCCCCACAGAGGTCCCTTCCAACCCCCAACATTCTGTGATTCTGTGAATAATGTGGAAACATGGGGACGTATTTAAAGCTACTTGTACCACAGTTGTATCAACTGCCTACCCTAACGACTTTTACGTTTGCCTAGAACTTTGTCAATATTTAACTTCTACACCAACCACCTAATTGTATTGTCATTAATTTTTGTCTAAATGGCTGCAAAACTATGTATTGCTTTAAAGGATGCCTGGTAGCACACAGCTCTTCAGGTAACCCTAACCTTGAGGACAAAGACCTAACTCATCTCACATTAGATTTGCCACTTCTGCTTTTAGGTTAGGCAGAAAGTCATTGTGAAGGACATCATTCCGAGTTGTCAACATCTGTGCAACTTTGACTGTCCTGTACAATGGCTTTCTTGTAAACACACTAGATTTTTTTTTTATTTTATTTTGTTTTTTACATTATCTTTCTGGTCGAGAGAATTGTGGAAGCATCTTTGCTCATCACAGTTCTTAGTTGATGCCGCAGTCTCAAATTTTAAAATGCTGCATTTTGGATAGCCCAAATAGCATGAAACAGCTTGTAGGATTCCAGGCAGCTCCACAGTATATGCAGAATTGCTAGTAATTTCTTCTGCTGACAAGTAAGCTCTCTCATGAGGCACACTGAGCATCTCCCTCACAACTGGATGTCTCTTACAGCAGGGGAGGGGTGGAGATCATGATGGGAACGTCTCTGAGGCCTGAGAAAGAATTAAGTTGGCAAAGAATTGGTATAGAAGCTTGACTCATAGGAAATGTAAAGTGTCACCAGTCAAGCTGCATTAGACTTTGCATGGAAAGTCAAAATAAACAGTACAGATTGTTATTTTTCTTTAAACTATATGATATCCCACTTTCACTTTCTTATTCTTGTGCACTCTCTTGTGCTCCTTCTCTGGATAGACAATCTAAAATATTTTACCTCAGGTTTTAATGACAGCTGCGATACTGATCATGGAAAGAACAAATATACACATAATGGAAATGCCTCATGTTTAAGAAAGTGAAAATTACCACAAGTCAGATACAAGCAGAACTTGGAGGTGG